CTATAGGGATACAATTCCCGTGAACAAATGAAATAAATGAATAAATGAAATGAAAAAAAGAAATATATATATATATATATATATAATACAAAAATACAAAGTAATTAATCGCAAATATAAGAATTTATATATATAAAAATTTACTTAAATCATTCGCATGCAATGCGAATCTATTTAAGAGTTTACATTTGCTATAAAGAATGCGATGTAATTTAATTACAAAAGAGATGATAATTTCTTAGAACCCGAGTGGGAACATTGAACCAGCCAAAGCAATGAAAGACAATTAATTGATCCTCTCAATACTTTAAAAAACAAAATTATAACATTTTCTATATGCATAGAATCCTTCTATCTTTAAGAGACAAGAATCCCAAAGATTTGCAAGATTTTTCTGTCCAAGACCGCTCGGGCCGGCCATTTGAGATCGACAGCGATAAAGTGAAGGTGTTAGTCAACACCAATCCACGCTACACGACACGGGAAAATGCAGACGTTTTCAAAATGTCAAAATCAAGCGTGGAAAATCATTTGCATCAACTTGGTGACGTTGCTGGTTCAATGTTTTGGTCCCGCACGAGCTAAGTGAAATTCATTTAATCGAGCGCTATTTCCACCAGTAATTCATTTAGAAAACGTGAAAAAAGCGATCCATTTCTAAAGTGAATAGCGACAGATTATGAAAAATGTATCGCCTACAACAATGTCGAGCGCAAAACTGGGGACAACACGGCGAAACGCCAAAAAGCATTTCGAAAGCAGAATTTCACCCGAACAAGGTCATGCTCTTAAGTTGATGGAATTGAAAGGGTGTTGCGTTCTATGAGCTTTTTCTGAAGAACAAAATGATCAATTCGGATGTGTACTATGGTCGGCTGGACAGATTGAATGCAGCGACCCACGTGAAGCATCCAGAATTGGTAAATCGCAATGGCGTTGTTTTCCATCCACGACAACACCAGGCCGCACACCGTTTCTGCAAGCCTGGCAAAAATTACTAACTAGGATGAGATATTTTACCACATCCTTCATATTCACCAGACCTTGCATCTTCAAATTACCACTTGTTTCCTTCAAAATTCCTTCAATAGACAGCGCTTTGTTTCTGAGAAAGCCATTAAATTTGGGTACTGGGGGCAGTTTTTCGCCGAGAAG